GGACTAATTGTTTCCATGAATCTTTGGTTTTCTTCATTTTTCTTTGCTCTGGATGAGGAGAGACCCATCATTGCATCTAGATGGCTGCTTGCAAGCATTTAAGATCCCAGTCACTACCAGCCAAAGTAGGATGTGGAACAGTGGAACAGTCACTCTTGTCAAAAGTTGTGGATCCCTTTGGGGAAGGCTGGGAGAAAGATCAACAGTATGAATTTTTATCAGTGTATTGGGGTCCTTCCTCAAAGGGACCCAGCCTCCTCTTCATTCAAGGGGTTGTGGGTCTGTAAACTGACTCAAGTCTGGAAATTGATTGAGAGGCTGTGACTCTATATCCTGGTGATTCAATCTAGACTGCTATTCATGTGACCTAGAATTCTTCTATCTATACAGATCAAGTAAATATTTAGTAGGTTTGCCATGTATTTCACTCCTGGAACACCATGCCTAAGTAGCCAATGCCATAATTCCACACAAGTCAGAGTATTCTAATTACTGTTTTGACTCTGCTGTCCATTATGGTAATCACGCCCACCTTGTCTTTGTCAATTAACTGCTGCAACTTGGCTCCTGCTACCAGGGGGTCCAGTCAGCCCAATTGTAGTTAAGTGTCTTAGCTCAATTAGGGCAGTTCCCATTGTCAAATCTGGCTTAGTGAAATAGCAATCACAGCAGTCTTCAGGGATGCTGGGGCTCCCTTCACACATTTGTTCCTCACTGTAGTGGTGAAAGGCATGTCCTCTGGGCTCGCCATTTCTGGGTCTGTGAGTCTAATCAGATAAATCCATTCCAACATGCCAATTTCCCTAAACCTCTGGATGCCGCCTTCTACGTTATACCAAGGCATGTTTGGTAGTTCACCTTGACTTAAGGTAGGCCAGCACATAATCCATGCTTCAATAAACCAACCAAATAAACTATTAGATCCTTTCCTAAACTCTCGAGCTGAAACATTGAATGAAGAATCCGTACTTAGTGGACCTAAATCAATAAACTCAGACTGATCCAATGTTACATTCTTTGCACCATCATCCCACCCTCAGTAGCCATTCCCATACATATTCTCCAGGTTTCTATCTCTGCATGTTAGCAAAATCAAGCAGGTCTTTTTGGGTGTAGTATACCACTTCCTCAGTCACACTTGCACTTCACCTTTTGGGGTTCCCTTGGACTTAAATCTAGTTACAGGTCTGGAAGCAACAATGAGTGGTTAGGGCAGTTCCTGAGAACATTGAGCAATGTCTTCCATGGCATCTACCTCAGGCAATGACCCAGCAGGGACAGTTCGGTTAATCCCATCAAATGGAGGTGGGAGGGATGATGGTTTTAGAGTAGTCACTTCAGATGGGAGGGGTGGTGCTGTTAGCAGGAGGGATTCAGTTTAGGGGTGCTGTGTGCCCATCTTCCTTTCTTCCCATGTGTCTCTGTCCCAGGTTTCAGGGATTTTTCACTGATTTTTCCCAATCAGTGCTCTCACTTTAACTTCACATACCATTCTGGGTTGGCAATCCAGTTGGCATTGTGATTCAGCCACCCTTATAATAAGACTTTGGGTTTGGTTTTTGGCAATATCAGTTCTGTTACTAGAAGAAATAAGGCTTTCTTTCAGGGCACAGCTGGAAACATTGAGGTCTTTCATGAGGCGCTTAAGCTGTGACTCAGCAGTCCTGAGCTCATGTCACTCTCACCACCTTGTCTAGTGTAAGGAGGACCAACCAACCAGCTTCCTTATACTCATGCTGACAGAATTGCAGAAAAGTGTCAATATGTGATCACCCTGTCAATATGTGATCACCCAGAGCCTCACCTCTCAAAAATACTCGATCTGTTGGTGGTTCTATTTTGCATGTTAATGTTGCCACTTCATGGCTCAGATTAGCAGGGCCCTCTACTAATGAAGGCCGAGTCACCAGGGCTTCTACGATGAGTCAAACTGGAGAACCAACCACAGTGTGAGCGATGAGTTTTCTGCTCCCGCGTTTCCTCGGCTGCTCT